TATATATAATATATCTAATAAATTATTTCATTAAATGAAATCGACGAAATATACAATATTGTTATATTGTTCAAATACAATAAATAAAGGTCATTTAGGATCAAAGCAAATCTTGGTGCTTAATAATATTCTGTGAATTTTTTACTTTTTTTTACAATTTGTAGTCCAAACTGCGCAAGATTTTATCAGTCTTGAAACACAACTCCAAAGCCAGAGTACGTAATTTCAAAAATTAAATTAACAAACAATTTAATCATGTAGATACTAATCAGCTTATTATATTGTGTTTTAGATCCAAGGAAGCAGCCATCAAATGTTGATTTCAAAAAGGACTTGTTAAAAGTGTTATCGGATGGTAATAAAACTGCTGATGGTGTTGAAGGATTTTTAATTCAACTGGGCGATATTTTAAGAAAATTGCCATATAAAAATAGAAGACTACTTGAAACTAAAATTATGATGGATGCATTAAAAGCAGAAGAAGAGGCAGGACTTTTATAATTTAGATTTATATTTAAAAAATTAATATATTTTGATGTAAACTTTTTTTATTCTCATTCTTGACAAAGAAATAATAAAGTACAAAACTGTATAGGTTTCATGTTTGCTTATAAAATTATTTATGTAGTTAATTAAAATATATACCTTCCATTTTCTATATTATTATTATATTAAAATTCATTATTCTCAGCTTTCTCCCATTGCCATTGTACAGCGCCTTCATTTATAAAATAGTTAGTAAATCTATCTCTGTAAATACTGGACAAATTGTGTGAAATAACATCTTGGTTAATCTGATTTTGTATGTTTCTAATGCCAAGCGATGTTTGCTGCCTGTCGTGTCCATTATATTGTAAGTATTGTCTTTCTTGAGGACGCTTTTCAAGTTCCTTAGTGATGATAAAATTGTGCAAACAGACAGTGACCAACACTATTTTTTTAGCTTTCAAGACGTAGGTATTGATTGGTCTTCGAAAAATTCGCCACCTGGCTGCGAGTATGCCAAAAGCACTTTCGATAACTCGTCTGGCTCTGCTGAGACGATAATTAAATATCTTTTTTTTCAAATTTAGCTGTGAGCTTTTTGGATAAGGTCGCATCAAGTACGATGATAGCGGGTATACCTCATCGGCCACCAAAACGAATGGCAATTCGTACTGATTAACTACAGAAGGTGGAGGCACATTTAAAGTATTTGCATCTAGCCTTGATTTTATTTTGCTATTAGCAAAAACTCCAGTATCGCTACAACAACCTTCTGCTCCTACGTCTACCAAAATAAATCGGTAGTGTGCATCTGAAATGCCAGTGAGATTGAAGCTATGAGTTCTTTTGTAATTATAGTAGACTGAGCCACTGTCAGGAGGAGCCTGTAATCTAATTTTTAATCAATCTTTCAGTTTATAGTTATTTCAGTTTATAGAGTTGCGTTTAAAGACCGAAGATATTTCGGCGCGTGGGGTGGGAAGGGAATACATATACATATATCACTTTGAATAATATATTGCGAAGAATATTACTACGTCGACCCGCCATCAGAGGTCTATAGATATTCGCTAAGATTCTCGCAAGTGCTTTGATACGCGTATATCTGTATATATAGAATCTCGATTTAATAACTAAAACAGGCGTCTAAGGTAGGCTTCCATTACAATACCTTACTGATGAGTCCAGTATTGAAAGCCGGGACGAAACGCCAACATTACGTGATATTCTTCGCAATATATTAGAATTAAGAGAATTAAAGATTTTAATGAATCTCAGGCTCGTAGCCCTATTCTCATATTAGTTTTAAATCAATCTATTTTATGAATGTAAAGTACAAAAGATGTCTGAATAAAGTCTTTTGCAATCTTTGTCCACGCATCCTTGTTTGGTATTGGCATAACTAAATCCTTCAATTTAAGCCATATTTCATCACAAGTTTCATGAATTATTTGCGAAACAGTATTTGGAGAAACTCGAAATGCATATCCTATTGATCTCATGCTGTCTCCACTGGCTAAGTACCTCAAGCAAATTTGCAACCTTGTATGAGAAGCAATTGGTTCTCTAATATTTGTTTGCTTTTCAATTCCAGGACCTATTATTGAAATAAGATACTCGAAGGTACCAACATCCATTCTTAAATAATTAAAATGAAGCGAAGGGTCAGTTACTCTCAGCATGTTGATTAAATTGTTACTATCACCTTGGCGCAACCGTTGCTCTATTGAATAAATGGGCCTGACCTATACACTTCTTTTAGATTTTTTTTTCTGATAAAGCAACGTAAATTGAGTATAATTTGAGCAAAGTTAATCTTATTTTCTCCTTTCGATACTGCATCATTGGAGTTTTTAAGTAAATCTTCATCCAGTGTTTAATAGCCTCAATTAACATAATTAATTTTTCATCCATGATAAAAACTTGTGAAAACTATAATGAAAACTAAAAGAGTGCGCAAATATAAATGTTAAAATAAAAGAACAATGAGGCATGACGCATTACGTATGATTTCGATGTGCCTTGTTCACACGGTGCGGAAACATGATAGTAAATTTTTTTTAAATTGTAAAAATTAATTGCAAAATATTAAATACTATTACAATGATAATTATTTCTACAATTTGAGAAATTGCATTTCATTTTAATAAGCAAATTATTAACATAAAGTTAATAATTTCTAAACTATATTTATCCTCGATGAATCTATAGATCTGTTCTTTATTCCTACACCGTCTGAACTGGTACACACAGTACAATAAGTTAAAGTGAAACAAATACATATTATTTCACTTCAACTTCTTACACCAGTTCATATAGTACAGGAATAAAGAAAAGATCTTATGACGCACCATGTGAACATAGCACACAAAATTTGCGTGATGAAAAAATGCGGAATAGAGCTGATTGGTTGCTTCAATGACGCACTCTCTATTCCGCAGTCCTATTCCGCATCGTGTGATTTCAGCCTAAGGCTCCGTTACTCTCCGGATGATAGGCTGTCGTTTGTATCTTTTCTATTTTCAATAATTTGCAAGTATTCTTAAACATCTCGCTAATAAAGTTAGTACCTTGATCGGTAAGGATTTTATCCGGCGTACCGTGTTCTACTATTATTTTGATCACGAATGCTTTCGCGACGGTAGCCGCTTCTTGATTATTTATAGGAATAGCTTTACTGAATTTAGTTAAGTTGTCCTGGAAGGTCAGGATATATTTATTCCCATTGGTTGTGACAGTTAATGGCCCTACGATATCTAATGCACATTTTTCAAACGGTTTCGTAGGCGTGTCTGTAATTACTAATGGCATCTTCGTCTTTTTACTTAATTTGTTCTTTTGGCAATATTCACATTTGCTTATGTATTCCTCGACGTCTCGAGTAATGCCTCTCCAGTTATGTAGTAATCGGATACGGTTCAGTGTCCGCGCGACCCCTTGATGCCCCCCTAACGGAGCGTCGTGATACTCGTATAGTATGCGGCGTTTCTCCTCAGCCGTATATTCTTTAATTGTTTCTTCCTCTTCTTCTTCTTCTTCTTGCCGTCCTTCTTCTTCCGGATGAATGAGATTGACGTGTGGGTCGTCCGTAACTGGATTTCTGCTTAATGCATCGGCATTTGTATTGCATTTGCCCTTTTTGTGTACGATTTTATAATCGTACTCCGCTAATTTTAGTCGCCATCTAATTAATCTAGAACCTGGATCTGTGACATTGAATAGTCAGATTAATGGTCTGTGGTCTGTCACAATGGTAAACGTTGTACCATATAAATAGGGTCGAAAATGTTTCACGACCCATACTATAGCTAATAGTTCCTTTTCCGTCGTGCTATAGTTTTGTTCGGCTTTATTCAAAATTCTACTAGCATAAGCAATCGGTCGGTTTCTGCCTACGGGACCTTGTGACAATACAGCTCCGATTGCATGATCTGATGCGTCGGTCGTTACTAAGAATTCATGAGTGAAATCCGAGTAACTTAGTACGGGTGCCGACGTGAGTTTTGCCTTTAATAATTCGAACGCGTTTTGCTGTTCCATACCCCATTCAAATTTTACTCCCTTTTTGGTTAAACTCGTAAGAGGTTTTGCAATTTTAGAAAATTCTTCAATGAATTTCTGGTAATATCCAATCCGATAAATGATTGCACATCCTTGATTTTTCTTGGTATAGGAAAATTGTTTACGGCACTTAATTTGCTTGGATCTGGTCGTATTCCATTTTTAGTAATTATATGACCCAGATAAATTACTTCCTTTCTAAGGAAATTGCACTTGTCGGGCTGTAATTTTAGATTATGTTTTCGTAAACGCTGCATTACTTCAATCATTATTATGTTCTTCCAAATTTGATCCATAGACAACGATGTCGTCCAAATATACGAAGCATCTCAGGCTTTGAATTCCGGCTAATATCGCGTTCATTAATCTTTGAAAAGTTGCGGGTGCATTCCTTAACCCGAAGGGCATTCTATTGAACTCGTAATGCCCATGTGAAGTGGAAAAGGCTGTTTTATTTTTGTGTTCTTCGCTCATGGGGATTTGATGATATTCCAAGACAAGATCTAATGTAGAAAAATATTTTGCATTTCCTAATTGATCTAAAATATCATTTATATTCGGCAGAGGGAAAGAGTCGCCTATTGTTAGCTCGTTAAGTTTTCGAAAATCTATCACGATTCTCAGTTTCGGCTTCTCTGTCGTGTCGCCTTTCTTTGGAACGACCAGTAGTGGCGCGTTCCACTGACTCGCGCTAGGTCGGATAATATCTTCTTTTAGCATTTTTTCTATTTGTCGATTTACCTCTTCCTTATGTTTTTCTGGTAATCTATAAGGTCGCACATTTACAGGTGCGCTATTTGTGCGGATATTTATTTCATGCTCCACAGTGGACGTGTGCGTCAGCATATCTCCATCTAAATGAAAGATATCGCAGAAGTCTTCGCATAATCGCTCAATGGTCTTCTTTTCCTCGTGATTTAAATGCTCGGTTCCTATCTGAGCTCGTATACGCTCGCGGCGTGTTAGTATTGGTGAGTCGCTCTTGTTACATGCCGTACGTAGTGTGAGTATGTTCTCGCGGTCATTTGCCCGCAATTCATCTATTGTCACGAGCGGTGTTATTATTTCTATTGTCTCTCCTGTTGTATTTAGCATACTTATTGGGCAAGCATATTCTTCAGGTGCTACCAAGCAGTTGCCAATAAATACTCCTGGTCGCATTTCTTCTGATTTTACTATTCCAATGCGATTTTTATCTGTTATCGCTTGGATTATGGTCTCGCTACGAGGAGTTAGCGTTAGTTTTTTATAGGGATGGAGTTTCAGTGTTACTCCATCGACTTGAAGATAGCTTTTTTGATCGCTTTTAATTTTATGTTTCTGCAGGAAATCCATACCAAGTATTCCTGCGTAGTCGATAGGGAAATCATCCTTCACGACGTGCATGGTGTGGCGTATTTCTTTATTTCCTATTGTTACAGTCGTCTTTATTTTACCAATAGTTTTAATTTGATGGCCCGTCACTCCGGTGAGAGCCATTGGCTTTTTAGTTATGAGCGTTTCGCCTTTCAAATTCCCTAATTTGATTAGTGTTAGGGTGGCTCCGGTATCTAATAAGAGATTTATGTGTCCCTTTTTCATTTCTTTTATTGGCAACGTTACTAATCTGAGACCGATATTTGCACGATTTCCAGTTACTTGCGTAATCTGATGCTTAATTGCCGCTCGCCTTTTCCGCGTCTTCGTTCCCTCTTCTTCTTCGCTGCTAGCATATGATGCTTCCTCGCTATCGCTATTTCGCTTGCTCCTTCTTGGTTCTCTCGCTTTTACTGCGGTGTTCAATCGCTTTGCTTTGTTATCTGTTTCGCGTCTCGCGCGTTGTCGCGTATCTCTATCGGATCGTCCGTTAAGTATCCAACACTCGTTTCGATTATGTCCCGCCTTTTTACAATAGGTGCAAAATTTCTCGACGGTATTAATTCCTACTGGCTTTTCAGCACGAGGCAAGGTAAATTTATTTGCATAACGGCTCGTTCGACAATTTTGACCGTAGTGTCCTGCTTTTCCGCATTTGTGGCACTGTATATTTTTATTTTGATTCGGCCCACTTTTATGTTGATTGTTAAATGGCATTTTCAAGGAAAGGTCCTTAATTTTTTCTTCCGCGCTCGCGGCGTTAATAGCCTCTTGCAGAGTAGCATATTTTTGCGATCGGACTATCATTTTGATGTCCTCGCGCAATCCTAATTCAAAATTTAATAGTGCTTCATCCTGAATTGTCTCTAGGATGGCTCGTTTCTGTTCATTTGTAGGATTTCCTTTTTCTATTAACGATTCGTATAATTCCATCGCTAATTGATCTACGCGTGGTCCGTATGTGTGCGCGCTTTCACTCGTTTTTTGTTTTAAGGCGTTAAACTCTAATTGGAGATGCGATGTTCCGCGTCTTCCAGCGTTCAGCCTTGCTTGAGGAAATACTAAATACAAAATTGAAAGGAAAACTCTTACTGGATTTTTAAACCAGAAGTATACAAGATTTTGAACAGCGAGAAATAGAGATTAACTAGTTACGCGAGGTCGATTTTTTCTATCGCATTAGTACTGGCGCTTATAAATTCTTGCGTCTTATGCCGTTGAGATCCGTCGACTTCGGGTATCAGTCTACGAGCGTCCTTCAAATGTAGATATCCCGTCGGCCGGTTTATTAATTCTCTTACGTCGTTTTGCGTTCTTCCGTACGTGGCGTTTAACGATTCTGGCCTGTCGGCAGGTCCGGTGAGTCGAAAATTTTCGCGCACGTTATTATTAATTTCCATTCTGTCCATCCTGTCTTGTAATCCGTTAATTACTACTATTAAACGGTCCAGGATTTCGTCCTGTCTATTTCTTATTGGCAGTTCGACAGTTCCCCTTAAACGTCCTATTTCCGCGTCTATTTCCGCGTTGGTTATCGGGGGGTTATTCCCTGCGTTAACGTCTCCACGCGGCGTCTGAGGCTGATGCGTTGCCATTACGCTAGGTGCGGAATTAACAAGTGTGGGTACGAATAAATCGCTTTCAAAAGATAACAACGAGGGCTCTCGTTGCGCGCGCCTATCGTTCCCTAATAAGCTTTGGTCGACTTCCTCGAATGGGA